TACGATGTAAAGTGAGAAGGAGCTGATTTGGTAGTTCTACGCTGCGTCTAAAAAAGAGACTTCAAAATTCGCTGCATGATCCTGATTACTCAGACTTCAATCTCACGTTTGCCTCAGGCAGTTTTTTTAAATGACTGTTTACAAAGGCATTTTCTGCGAAAAGCTAATTCAGTGTTTCTTTTTGTTGCAAAATATACCCATCAGGTCTCTTAATTTCAAGGTCTTCAGCTTTTGAAGTGATACTGGATAAAGAAAAAAAACCTAACTCAGACTGGATTAGAAGTTTTGCTCTTAGTGCAATTTTCCCTGACCTCAGACCTGAATTTTGTGACAATAAAAATGAGTATCACCGAGCGGCCTTTCATACACGAGAAAATGTGAACATTTTTACCCTTCAAAAGTGGCACAACAATAAAAGTGAACGAGTAGTTCTGCAAATCAAATTCAGGTTGCGATTGTTTTTGGCTGATTACTGCTCATTTTCTTTTCACCACAGGATTCTTTGTTTTCTAGAAGTAAAAAATGGCATGTTTTAGGCGATAGCAGATACAGGTACTTCATTAATTGCCGGACCGAAGAACCAGGTGGAGAATATCCAGAAGTATATTGGTGCCGAGTATGTATTCGGCGGCGAATACATTGTGCCATGCTACAAAGTGCCCTCGCTTCCAGAAATTACCATTGTCATCGCTGGCAAAACCTACGTGTTGAGAGGAACGGATTATATTTTGAATGTAAAAGCTTATTAACTTGTTAGCTTCAGATTTTTTTTTTTGGCCCAAAATAATTCCTCTTGGTTCATTCTGCAGTGAAAACTGTTTGTGTCGTTTTGACTGAAATACTGAAAAATCAAATTCATTCAATTTCATCCCTCTTTGATCGCCAAGATTCATTCTGAAAGATTTCACATTTACCAAGAATACCATGACATTAAAACAATGGGACGTGGAGGCGTGGGACAATGGAAGAGAGGGGAAGAGGAGGGGAATAGGGCACTTAAGTGGATGTAACTGAGATACTCCTGCACAACGGCTGCAGCTGTACTATGCTTTGTCCGCATTTCTTCCTCCATACTTTCGATTCCTCCACCTCTTCGGTTATGGCATTCCATGAGCAGCGAAAAGAAGCAGGCTGTTCACTTCGTCTTTTTTTCAAATTTTTGATTTGTGCGTCTGCTCTGCGGCGCGAGTTACTGTTGCTTTCAGCCTTCCACTGAGAAGAAAATCATTCAAAGATCTTTGATTTTTTAAATACCTG